TTCATTTAACTTTTCTTTATAAAGCTGGATTGGTGGGAAATCACCAGCAGCCAGATTATATTTTCTCATAACAATATTGAAGACATTATTTAAGTCAGCAATAAGTTCTGCTTTCTTTTTTTCTTTACCAAATGTTGGCATTTGTTCACGAAGATACGATGTAATATATGCATTTGTTTTAGCTAATCGTGCACGTTTACATAATTCATTAACTTTACGAACAGTAGCTTGTTTTGGTAATGCATGAAGGTCATACATTAAATCATCACGTTCTTTTTCAAATAAGGAAGTAAATAATGTATCTTTAAATGGTTGGTCCCAGAAGGAGGAGACATAAACTCTAAGACATTCTGGTGTTTGCATAACTTTACCAAGTGACCACATAAGAGCACCATACACTCTCATTAATTGTTGTGAATCAATAGAATCTGCTTTATTCAATACAAGTCTCATTTTTTCAGAATGTTTCTTAACAGACTCAATAACTCCTTTAAATTCATCAGAAATATCTAATTTATGTGCATCAAATACAAGTACAATCATATCAGCTCTTTCAGCAAACCATCTTACAACTTCATTAAAATCATATGACCTACCTATTCTTTGTTTCTCTCCAGATAAAACACCAGGAGAATCAATAAAAGTCATATGTTCAAGAAGGGGAAGATTGCAATAAGCTCCATTAAACTTAGCCATAAAATCATTACCAAATCTAGCCAAATTAGTAAATGGTTTATCTGTTTGAACACATAAAGTATTTCCTGGAACATTACCATTTGTTGGTCCATGCATAATAGCTGCAAATCCATCAGTAGTTGGTTCAGGGCCAATATGAGAGCCCGGGTAATCATAGTTTAACAAATAATTAATAAAAGTAGTTTTACCAGTAGAGTATTGACCAAGGAATAAGACCATTGGCTTTGCATCAAAATCAGCTGGTCTCATAGTTGGAGAAATTAAGTAATCATATTTATAATCAATCTCTAATTTTTTGAGTTTAGTATCATAAATCTTTTTAATACCGTCAATAACAGAGGTATAGCTTTCATCAATTTGATTCTTTCTTCCTTTTCTTCCAAATGGCATTATGTCTTTATTAAACAAGAAATCTTTATTCAAGTTCTAAATAAATATGTGGGTTTTGTAATTCTTCCAACTTCTTTTTTTGTTTCCTTTCTTTAAGAGAATTCATTCCAATAGTTTTGTTTGGATATTTTTTTATTTCTTTTTATTTTTTGTTTTATAAAACGTTTATTTCTTTGTTGAAGTTTTTGTTTTCTAAAATTCTTTGTTCATTCCATTTTTATTGTGTAACATTTACTGTTTTGTTGTTGATGTTTAAACGTAACCTTTTATTTTTTATTTGTTAAAGAACGGTATCAATAATTTAACTAGAAACCGTAAGACATGTTTTAGTTATGTTACATAATAAAATAAAATAAGAAATTCGTTGAGAAAATAAAATATATATTAAAAAATGTTTTAAAAAAAATGTTATTAAAACAAAGAAAAACAAAAATAAAATACAAAAAGAAATAAATTGAGCAATCGGATAATTTTCAAACAAAAAATAAAATCTTGAAATATGACTCAATTATTATTGAATAGAGTTTAATTGAAATTCAAATTAATTAACGATTTATTCAAAAGAAAATCAAATAAAAAAACAACATAGAAGCATGTGTTTTAATTTTAATAAAATTATAATTCTTCATATTTTTCTATAAGAATTACTAATAAAATTGAAGTAAGTAATTTTTGGTAACTTCAATTGGTAAAAATATTAAACGAGTAGATATAGAGATATTTAATAGAAGAAGAAATTCATGAAATAATTTCAATAGTATCAATAATCTAATATATTCAAATAAAAACAAAACTCATTAAAAATTGAAAGGGTTATTTTTGAAAAGTTGCAATTTCAACTTAAATTACAAGAATGATTTGTGAAAAAAGGGTAAAAAAAGAATATTTAAACCTAAGTTAGAACTTTAAACATAATTCTAACAATAATGGCTAATATTGATTCTAATAAAGTTTGGGCTCGTGTTAATAATGACCCAAATGTTGAATCAAAACCACTTCATGTTCTTGTAACTGGAGCTGCTGGTCAAATTGGATATAATCTTCTTTTCTTAATTGCTCATGGTTTAATGTTTGGTCCAAATCAAACAGTTTATTTACATTTATATGATATTATGGTTGAAGCTATGGAAGGAGTAAAAATGGAATTAGCTGATTGTTGTTTCCCACTTGTTAAAGGAGTTATAGCTTCAAACAAGACTGAAGTAGCATTTAAAGATGTTGAATGTGCTATTTTAGTTGCAGGTATGCCAAGAAAAGTAGGTATGGAAAGAAAAGAATTAATTGGTATTAATACTAGAATTATGAAAGAACAAGCCCTTGCTCTTAAGAACTTTGCTAATCCTCATGTTAGAGTTTTAGTTGTTGCTAATCCAGCTAATACTAATGCACTTGTAGTTGCTAATAATGCTGGAATTGATGTTAAACAAATTACTTGTTTAACTCGACTTGATCAAAATAGAGCTATTGCTCAAATTGCAAATAAATTAAACTGTAAAGTTGAAGATGTTTCTGATGCTTTTGTATGGGGAAATCATTCAGAAAAACAATGTCCAGATATTTCTCATGCAGTTATTCAAACACCAAATGGACCAAAAAGAGTAGCTGATCTTGTTGAAGAGTCTTGGTTAGAATCTTTTAATAAAACTGTTCAAGAAAGAGGGGCTAAGGTAATTGAAATGAGAAAGGCTTCATCAGCTGCTTCAGCTGCTAAAGCTATTGTTGATCATTTTAGAGATTGGTGCCTTGGAACAAATAAAGAAAAGATTGTTTGTATGGGAGTTTATAGTGAAGGACAATACGGTATTCCAAAAGGAATATTCTTTAGTATGCCAGTTGTTTGTTATGGAGGTGAATATCATATTGTTGATGATTTGAAATTAGATGAACATATAAAAGAAATGCTTAAAAATTCTGAAGAAGAACTTATTGAAGAACAGAAATTAGAGACTGCCTTTGAAGAAATTACACAACAATCCCACGTTCATGATTAAAATTAAATAGATTTGTTGTAACATTTTTATTTTTAATTAATCTGGATGGGTAATTATTATATAATGAATAATTTTATAAGGAAAAATTTAGTACTTCATTTTGAATGAATAAGAATTTTTTTTCGTTGAATAAAAGTAGTTTAAAACAATTTATAGAAGAAAATAATTTGAATTATTTAATAGAAAAAAATAAGAACTTAAAAATAATTTATAAAAAAAAGAATGAACTAAAAGACAAGTAGTTCAAATATAAGTTCTTCATTATGGCTGCCACTTATCAAGCATATCTGGATACTATTAGAGCAACATTGAATAGTGCAATGTGTGTAACTAACTTTGCATCACAATTAATTGAAAGACATAATAAACCAGAAGTTGAACTTGGTCTTTCAAAAGAAGTTATTTTTAAACCAGTTGTTATTGTTAGAGTACCATCTGAACCAAATGCTGAAGAAAATGGAGTTGATAAATGTGAAAAAGTAATGATTGAAGGATCAATTAACTCAGTAAGAATTTCAATTTGTGTTAAAAAAGCTGATAATCTTGAAGTTATTCTTCTTAGAAGATTTGTTTCATTCCTTCAACAAAGAGCTGAGAATTTTGTTATTCTTAGAAGAAAACCAATTAAAGGATATGACATTTCATTCTTAATTACTAACTTCCAAACAGAAAATCTCTTTAAACATAAACTTATAGATTTCATTATTGAATTTATGCAAGAAATCGATAAAGAAATTTCAGATATGAAGATTTCTGTTAATACTCGTGCCCGTATTGCTGTTGCTGGCATTACCGGCACTACACCAGCTCCTGGTTTCTTCAAGCATTATTAGCTTAAATTAAAACATTAATTTTTTTATTATTTTTTGTTATTTATCCATATAAAATATTTTTTATTTATTTTATATTGCTTATTTTCAATTGATGTTAGAAATGAACTCTATTGTGGAAGTAGAGCATATTGAAGAAACAAAAATAATCACTTCTCAATACGAAGAAAAACAATAATTGGATTTACCTATTAATTATCCTTTTTTTTATTTAATGTTTAATCAAGAGAAAAGAAAAAAAGGAAGGGGGACTAACAGAAAAAAGAAAGATGTAGAAGAAAAGAAAGAAGAGAAAGAAGAAAAAAAAAGATCTGGACAAAAAAGAAAAGAGAATATAAAAAGAGGAACTAAAAGAAAGAAAACGATAAGAATGAAAGGATTAGAAGTAGTAAAAGATTTATATTGGGTAGGAGTATTTGATAAAGAATTACGAGTATTTGACATAATAATGAGGACACCATATGGGACGACATACAATTCATTTTTATTAAAAAGTGAGAAAGGGAATGTATTATTTGAAACATGTAAAGAGAATTTTGCTGAGGAATGTTTAGAAAGAATAGAAGATGTTATAGGAAAAGAAGGGAAAATAGATTATATAGTATTAAATCACACAGAACCGGATCATAGTGGATCATTAGTACATATATTAGAGAAATATCCAGAAGCTACAGTAATTGGAACGATGGCAGCATTAAATAACATTAAATATATTGGACATATTAAAGAAAATACAAAAACATTAAATTCAGGAAAAATTAAAACACTTGATTTAGGAAATTATCATTTAAAATTTTTAATTCAACCATTTTTACATTGGCCAGATACTATGATGACAGTTATTGAAGAATTAAAAGTATTAGTTAGTTGTGATGTTTTTGGAGGACATTATGCAGATGAAAGAGTATTTAATGATCAAATGATGGATAGAATTAAAGATATGGATGATGCATATAAACATTATTTTGATTGTATTTTTGGACCATTTAAAAATTATGTAATTAAAGGAATTAATATGATTGAAACACAAATGGGATTCCCAACTGATGAACTTAAAGCTATTTGTTGTAGTCATGGACCTGTTTTAAGAACAAATATTAAAGAAAATATTGAAAGATATAGAAAATGGGCACAACCTATTATTTTAAAAAATAAAGTTGTTATTGCTTATGGTTCTGCTTATGGTTATACTCAAAAAATGGCTGAAAAAATTAGTGAAGGAATTAAATCTTCTGGTGTTGATGTTAAAATCTTTAATATAGTTCAATCTTCTATTGATGATGTTTTAAAAGAATTCGATGATGCTAAAGGTTTACTTTTAGGTACTCCTACTTTAGTTAATGATGCTATCCCTCCTATTATGAATATCGCTTGTAGTCTTAATCCAACTATTCATTGCAATAGATTCATTCAATGTTTCGGTTCTTTCGGTTGGAGTGGTGAAGGTGTTAAAAATTTATCTGCTAGAATCATTCAATTAAAAGCTCATCAACCCGTAGAACCTTTATCTATTAAATTCCATCCTAATTCTATTGAATTACAAACTTGCTTTGATTGGGGAAAGAAATTCGCTGATGCTCTTCTTAATGCTTAATTCTCCTTTTTTTCTTTAATTTTTAGAGATTTTTCCTTAATATATTTAGAATGTTGATTTTCTTTCTTTTAAAACAAATATACTAACATATTACAAATATAAAACTTCCTACTTTTTTCTTGAATAACTAATTTATTTTTTAATTCCTCCTATCTAGTTTATAGATTAATAGTTAGTAATATCTTATTTCTTGTACCATTATAGTATTCTAATTTTTTTTTTCTTTAATCAATGATAAATTTCTTTTATCTGTTTTGTTTTATTTTTCTTTACTATAAAAGAAACATGTGATTAATAGAAGGAGTAATTAGATATGATTGTTATTGTTCTGTTGAAAGTGAATTAGTCTAATACTAAAACAAAGAATAAATATTGAAGTTATTTTTGAAAAGAAAAGATTCAGATATAAATAATTAAACATATTCATTAAAAGAATTTTATTTTAAATTCTAAAAATTTGTTAGACTAATAAATAAAAGAGAAAATAAGATAAAAAGGAATCTAATTGTTCTATTCTTTATATAATTATTGAATGTAAAATCCCAAATTTTATTACATAATTTCAGTAAGAATAATAAGCGAATAAAAATTAGAATTACTTATTTTGATGAATTATCTTCTCTAAGTTATCTCTCTTAATTAACATCCTTAGTAACTTCTCAAGATCTTGTTTCCGTTTAAATTCTTCTATAACAGACGGACTCCATTCTCCAAAGAAATTTGATAAAAAATGAATATCACTCATGATATCGTCCATTCCTCTTATGTTGTATTTTTCTGAATCACTTATAATAGAACCATTATCTTTATTTAAAAAAGAGTCCATTTGAAGAAACTTAGATGAAACCAAAAATCTTATAAGTGGATACTAGATATTATTATCTAAACTATTTTTTAACCTACCTTATACAAACTAATTTTTAAAGAATAATCTTAAGTTTTTAGTTTTTCTATTTTCATTTTATTTGAACCATGATACCTTCACAATCAAGTCATTTTACAGTAATTTCTGATGTTCATAACACCCACCTTTCATTAGCACTAAAAAAAACTGATTATTTATTAATTTGTGGTGATATTACTAATAGAGGAAATAAAGATAATTTAAAATCATTTGGAAAATGGTTAAAAAATCAACCAGCAAAAAACATTATTATGGTTTTAGGAAACCATGAAAGAGAGGGTTACATTAATCGGTCGTTTATTATTAAATCATTTCAATCAATACCTAATTTGAATATATTAAATGGATTACAAATAATTAATGGGTTTCAGTTCTTTGGTCAATCATTTCCATTTAAACCAGTTAACACCAAACTCCTTTCAATTAACCCAGACAAACCTCTTATTACTCTCTCACATGAACCGCCATATGGAATCATGGACTATGGTATTTATCAAAGAAAAATTATTAACGATACCTTTTATCATGCAGGAAATAAAGTAGTTAGAAAATTTATTGAAGAAGTTCAACCTCAGGTTCATTGTTTTGGTCACTGTCACTCTTCGCATGGAGTTTGTTTATTTGGTAAAACATTATGTGTTAATAGTTCGTTGACTGATGATGAAGGACAACCATTTAAGAAACCAATTTGTTTAATGTACAAAAATAAAGAATTTAAACTAATAGATAAATCAAAATACATTCCTTTTTACTCATTTCTAAAACAAAAAAAAATTGATCCATTTGAATTTATTATTTCAAAGAATGAATATTTTAATTAAAATGATTTGTTTATTTTTGTTATCTATAACTAAATAATTGTATAAGTTAATTGAATTAATTAGTTAAATTGATTTATTTTGAATGTCTTTGATTAATTTTTCTGGACTATCATTTACAAGGAATTTAATCTCTTCTCCATTCTTAGTATGAATGAAAATTGTTTTACCAGTAAAACTGAATCTATCAATATCATCATAAAATAATTCTATAACAATACTTTCATTGATTATAATACTTAATTCAATACTATTATACTCTAAATATCCTCTAATTAAATAAGTCATGGCTTTTTTTTTTAAAACTTAATTACACAAAAAAAAAAACAAACATATTGCTTTCATACAAAATATCAACTTTTTCAACAAGATATCTTCCTGTTTCTTCTTTTTTTTCCCAGTTAATTTCTTTAATAGTTTTATCACTAACCAATCCTGTTAATTTATCTTTTACTAACTCAGATAATGAATTGGAAAGACTTCTTCTTTTAATCTCTTTTTTAACAAAATCTAATTTAAACACATTTTTCCAATTAACCCCACGACACACTTGACAATCTTTTGTATGCCCTTCAATATTAAAACCTTCAGATCGTTCTGTCCAAAATTTATGATATAAACTATAACCACCCCCAAGGACTGATATATGCTTTATATTATTTTTTATTAATGTTTCTACACTTGTTGTAATTGATTCACTTTCATTTGGAGCACCTGAAAAATATAATACCCAATGAATATTTTCAGGTGTTGTATCAATGTCTTTAAGAAGAATAGAACTGTTAATGTGACCATTATTATAATCATTTTCTTCTCGTCCATCAACATATATGATATTAATATGATTTAATTTATCAGAAAGTATATCTGTTGGTGATACTGGAAAATATACACCTCCATCAAATTTAGAGGCTTCCCAACGTTGATAAATAGCGTTGTTTGAAAGACATGAACTTAATAATCTTGAAAAAGAAGTAGGAGTATTTTGTTGAATATATTTTGCAAACACAAGTAATGAAGAAGTATCAGTCTCATTAAGACGAATTTCATTGAAATATGTTTCAAGAGCAAGTGAACTTGTTGTTTTTAATAATTCACTTCTATGTGTAATGAATATAGAACAAAGTATAAACATTGGAATAATTGGAGATGAATATAATAATCGATCATACAATGACAATACAGTATCCATTGGATCATAGAATTGAATAAATAAAGAATAAAACTAGAAATAAAAATTCTGCCATTCTTAAATAAACAAAAAGAACAAACATGTCGAAGAACTAATGATTTTAAATTTATTGATAAACTTTTGAAATGATTTGATAATTGAGGGTCATGGTATTGTATCAATAACCAAAGTAATTGAATAACCCCATCAGAGTCAGCAGTGTAATTATTAAATTTAGTTAAGAAATAAGAGATTGCACATTGTTGCATTTTAAAATCATTTGGAAATAATGAAGCAATAACCACAGCAATACCAATTGACCCTTCAAATTGTGGATAGTCAGCTGGAACAATACTTTCAACTAATTGATAGATAAGAGCAAAGTTTTGATACTTTTCTTCTGGTAATGACTTTCTAAAGAATGCACTAACTAAATCTGGATTAACTTCTTTTATATTAAATTTTTTAAAATCTTCATTTCCTTGTAATATTATTCTCCATATTTTTTCTCTCCATGTCCTTTGGAAATCCAATTGTTTTAGCCATTTCTATTAATAATTGTTTATCC